ATCAATCATCCATTGTGCATATTTACATATGTGGACAAAATATGTGATGTGCATACACATGTGCTAACAACGATTCATTCATTACGCAACCCTTTTAGTCTCATTTTGTACCACTTGGTTCCAAAATGTTTCTTTTACCTATCTCCTTCTCTCCACCTTAAAAATCAGTTTAGTCCAGATTTTGCCTCCCCTTTTTTGTCCGACTTCTTTGAGACTGTCGTGTTGTGAGTGAAATAAGTAAATCAAGAGGATGGAAAGTCTGTTGTCTCATTTGGTCAAAATATTATGTATTTTGAAAAAGTTGTTTGAACGGCGGATCCCTCTTCTCGTTCTTCTTGGACAAGTTTTGGCATTGTTGTGTTGTTGTTGTTTCTGAGGAGATGAAGGGAATAATGCTCTGCGTTGGGTTCCCTTTAGTAGCGCTGTTATAGTCTCGTAGTGAGATGTTAAGTTTAACTACCCCATTTACAAGCTGTTTAGAGGCTTTTGTCGTGCCCAAATATAATCATAAAGTGGATGGAGAAGAGCCATTTCAGAGACCAATAACCGAAACAAACCAAAAGGGAATAAACAGGTTTTTTGTTGGTTTCCTTAGATTTCTGATTAGAAACAGAGAGAGGATGAAAGAGGGAAAGAAACGATTCGAGAGGCACACACACTCTTTCCGCTAAACAATACACAAACTATGTGCTCTTCTAGCAGAAAAGTATCGCAGTTCTAGGCGCCCATCGCAGTGGTATAGTTCTGGTCTGGTTATAGGCAATAAAACCACCACCACCATCACTCGTCGTCATCGTCGTCGTCGTCGTCCAAGCCGTTGTCGACCGTCCACTTCACCCAACAACAAAATGGAAGCGAGCGAGTTAAAGGAATGAAGGCCAGCTAGATACGTATTTAGTACACACGCGGAAAGTGAAGTCATACAGGGACACAAAACCACACTATGCAAAGTACTAACTAAAAGTACAACAGTGAGGAAAACCAGAAACTAAAAAGCCACAGGGATGAAAGAATGAGTGCTAAAGAAAGATGAAGAGAATGAGATGAAATTTTGGCCTGATTTTAGTTTTCGTTAATTCAGGTTGAAAATAATTTGAATAATAATCACCACTGTGGTCCATATTACTGTAGATGATGCACATATTATCCATTGCATGTATGTACTTGTCGTAATGGAATAATGCAATAAAACCGTTACGCGATTCGGGGCAAGGTGCGACAAATGATGAAAATGATAAAACACGTAATGCACTGCAAATGTCGAGTCATTAATGGAATTTTGTATTATTCTAGTTGTAAAATAAGGAGTAAAACAAAATAAACTTGTGGATTAACGTCTATTTAATTAAACTAAGTAGTTAAGTACACGACCTGTTACATAGTAAAAAAAACGGGCAAATAAACTCGGGGTTGTAGTAGATTAACTATATCCTAAGAACTTTCCTTAGGATGTACATTATCATGATTAGTTTTTACAGTAATTAAGTACTTTTGCTTATTAGGAGGATGGAATGCATGCAGACATAAAGTAGACTCGTATTTCACATCGGAATCATCATCAGTAAGGTAATATTGCCTACAAATCTATCTATCCTGCCCGGTCGGTGGATACCCTATGAAATTATGCTATTCTTATTATGACCTACGTGTAGTCCTAAACTCATTTATTACACATATACCATCGGCTTAGTTGTACACTGTACATTGTGTTTTTACAGAATGATTCTACACTAAAAAGTTTACAATGTGTACGCTGTCGATTATTGAGTAGTAAGTAACAATAAGTAAATTGATGATGATGGACGTTGTATTGTACCTTTGTATGGATTGGATTGGATGCTGGATTAGTAGTAGTACACGCTATGCAGTTACTATTTTTTAGTGGTGAGTAAAATGACTATAAATGTTATTACTTATAATAATATAGTACTGGTGGTGGTGGTGGGAGAACAATATAGTTTTAGTAATTGTGTCTGGGTAATTTGTGGGACTAATGAATAGCAATTAATTAGTTTAAGTAGTAATACCTAAAGAGTTTAATTTACATCAACGGGATGGTTTGGTTGCACATGGAGTTGCCCATACCTGGCATTTGCATGTGGACCATATTCGCTAATTTGTCACGACCCATCATCTCTTCTCGCTTCCGGTGGATCTTACGCTCCTTGGCGCGACGATTTTGAAACCAAATTTTCACCTGGGAATATACAAAAATTGAAATTTTTAGTATATATCTTGAACAATGGAACAATGGGAAGACAACAAATTGATGTAAATAATTACCTGTCGCTCGGATAAGCCAAGGTTCACGGCCAGCTCGGACTTTCTCCTAATCGTGATGTAGCGACTGTAGTGAAATTCCTTCTCGAGCTCTAACCTCTGCGTGTCCGAGTAGACGACGCGGTACTTGTCCTTTGTTCTTGTTTTTGCTAAACAATAGAAAGAAATGTTGAGATTAGTTATTAATTGGGATTGAGGGGATTAATTGGTCAGGAGGGGATTGAATTGTGGCGTCAACAACGTGCAGACAATCGTCACAATAGGCAAGTTGTTTTTCATGGAAATGAGTGCGGCGGATGATGCAATGAGATGACCTGAGAAGACATCACATCGCATAAATTATGTTGCCATCACGGACCAGTCCTATTAAACACATTGATGATGCCGACATTTCTTTTTCGGTAGTATTGAAGGATTTAGTGCGGATTTGGATATCTTCATTCCTCAGTAGATGCGTTTAACCGCGCTGATAATATTAAAATCGAGCTTATCTAAAAAGCAGCTTATCCTTATCCACAACGTATGATGCTCATGCTCAACCTGTGCTGTATTGGAAATAAATAAGCTATGCACATGCGATTAGCGGTACAGGGAATACATCAATCTTTCCTGGGTGGACGATTAAATGGAATTAAAATTCAAGTTTAATCACGGATTTTACACATATGTATGTAAAGGAATGATGTGTCTTTCTCCAAAATTTGACGGGGAAGAAATGGATATGAAAATGCCATCAAAATTCCAAAAACGAACCCTTGACTGATTCTTGACTTTTGGCAGCCACTTACTTTATCAACTCGAGGAAACAACAATGTTTTCCTGTTTTGACACAGGGCACGAGAGGCTCAACTTATTAAACGGACGGTTAGGCCGAAAAGAGAAAAAGGTCTGTTTTCGAACATGGATCGACACTTGTCACCACCAAAAACTAACCAACTCCTCTCGAATCCTGCCGCTCCTCCAAGTACAACAAACCCGGCCCTGTGCATTCTTCTTTTGAAAACTTGCTAAAAGCTTTCCTTTCTAAAAGTCAACTTCATTCAGACAGAGAGTGGAGAAGAAGTGACCCTTTTTCCACCCAGCGTCTCGTAACTGAGCTTATCCTCCCTTTTAAGGAAGGCAAAAAGAAGCCGAAAATTGGAGTCAAAGTTAACGGATCTATTACAAAAATAACGCGTGATCCATATATAGCAAATGATGAAGATATCCATGTCAGCGTCATAAACGGTGACTTTAAGGTTGGACTCGATTCAACTCTTGACAACTACATGAACATGTAAGGAATTTTAATTTGAGATTAGAACTTCTCAGCAAAAATTAAACCAGTTTTAGGAGGGATTTAAAATTGTCTGTTACTTCTAATTTAAATTTACGGTGTTGAGAAAAGAAAACTCTTTTTTTACAAATTTATTATTAACCTATCGACTTGTCCTACAGTCCAACATCCGTTTGGACTTCGGTAGCTTCAAAGTGGAAGAAAAATGTTTATTGTGACGTTTTATTGTCACTTGAAATCAGCATGGGTTCCTTTTGTCGGTTTTTTACACAAAAAACGAGTGAACACTTGTGAGCCACGAAACCTTTGGCACCATGAAGTTGCATACCACCGAAGGACTACAACACATGAAATGAAAAGGGGCGGTGTAGGCTTCAAGAGAATAAATACCTCATCTGTTATGTACCCCTCACACCCTCGTACTTTCCCATTGTCCACTCCGCACTGATGTAGGTAAAAAAGGGTTAGCATTTCTGTTTTAAGGAGAGAGGACAATTTTTTGAAGAGCTTTTTTACAATGCCAAGCAGTCTGGAGAAATGTGGTCTGGATTCCTTCCAGGGTGGCATTAAATGCTTATGCAGATAGGAATTAAGGAAACAACAGGATTATCAAGGTACACACACATCCGAGGTATTCAGGAAAGTTAAAGAATTTGACCACTCTGCCCGTGACTCATTCCCCGAAAAAAAAGAGTTTAAACCGCAGGAGACTAGTATTAATTACGCGCAGATGTTGAGTCCCCAACCCGACAGTATGAATGAACTGCACTGGTCCTCAAGGGGGTCATATTTTTGGCACCCACCACCATTGGGTTGACCAGATTTATTTATTATTTATTCCGTTCTGCCTGATATTTTGTTGACTTAATCAAGTGGCGGATTGTGCAAGCATAATGATGATTTCATAAAGTTGAAAGGAATAAGCGGCTCTGTCAAATGGAAATGATAAGGTTAAGCTGAATTATCCTCATCCAACGGAGCTTATCCACCACTCATATCCCATCCACCACCACCACTAACAATCAACTCGGGATGGCTAAAGCTCCAATTTTTCTGAATTAAACAATATTTGTTACGTGATGTAATGCCGTGCAATATTTGCCTACAAAGGATGATGATGAGGATGATGAGATAAACTATTTTGTACGTAATTCCTCAAATATCTGTTTGTACTAGAGCAACGTTTCACAATGTTGGTTTAATTCAGCGTGGAATTTGTAAAGGGGGATAAATCTGTGAAAATATGAATCGCCCGTTGTTGCGCCAATAATTTTGCAGGAGGGAGGACTTGTTTTGGAATGAAGTAAAAAGACTTTCCGTGTACTTACATAATTCGAACTTACCGTTGTTGGAGGAAGATGAGGAGGACGTGGGGACGGATGAGTAGGCTGGTTTTTTCATCCACTCGTACGGACTCCTGGCCTGCGTGGGTCGCACGTTGAGGAGAGGACTGGACATGTGGGTGTGGTGTTGCGCCGCCACGTGGGTGAGATTGTATTGATGAGATCCTTGCTGGTGCGGATTGAGGTGAAGTTCCCCCGTGGACGAGGCCGAGGAGGACATTGAGGCCGACGACCCCGCTCCGGAAGAAGCCGGACCTCCCAAACACTGCACCGGTCCACCACCCCCATGACCCCCACCCCCACCGGTTCCATACAACCCGCCGTTATTCGCAGTGGCGGGTGAGCCAGAGGAGGACACGCCGTCGGAAATTGCCATCCCGGAATCGGGTGAGTGGGGTGTGTTGGTGGGGTTGACAGCCACGCCACCACCGCCGCCGCCCTGCGTTGAGGACAGGTCTTGCTGCAGTTGAGGTTCCTGCATCAACAGAAGAGAAACGTCACGTCAGAGAAAGTTGGGAAGGAGGAAAAAACATAAATCGTGGAGAATTGGATGGCATGATAAATCTCTTTTGTAATGAAAATCAGAGAGAGAGGAAAGTAGAATTTGGTGTGGTCTCCCAATGCAGCAGAAGTGAGAGAGCGCCTCAATAAATTACTTTTTCCCAGCCCAAGCAAGGGTGGAAAGTAGAATGTGGTGTGAAATATCGGGAGATGGCAAAGGCCGAAACCACAAAAGAGAGAGAAATCACGATCGAAACAAACAAGTCGAGAAGACGCAATAGTTGAGTGAGAGAGAGTTTTGCTCATCTGCTCCCCACGGATTAGGGATGGACAGACGGTGAAAGATGTGGTCTGATTATTTGTGGTATGTGGTCATAAGCAAAGTTGTCTCTCTTTTCGGGGAGAAAGTTATACTTATTTTCCCAAACTCACCTGATTTCCTCCCGAACACGGCCCAAACTCCGTTTTGAATGATGGACTCCCATTCGACGAGACGTTGTTGTTGTTGTTGGGATAGTTATTATTATTTGGAGATTGAGGCGTCGTGCTGACATTATTGTTCGAGGTGACGGCACTAATGCTGAGGTGCCCTTGGGCATTATGTGGGGACGGGGTTGAGGAGGGTGGGGAGGGTTGTGCATGGTGGTAGAAGGACGGATGGTGGTGGGGGTGGGTGTGACCAGTGTGTGGATTTACCATCCCCACGTGATGGTGACTCCCCCACTCGTCGTAGCCAAAGGACGCAGCAGCCGCACCCCTAGCGAGACAGGCACTATTGTAGCTCTGATGGGCCCACGAGTCGCTAGCCATCACGGCACTGGAATTGAACTGGTGGGGGTGTGGATAACCATTCACGGCTGGCCCACCCCCAGGATGGCTGCAATCCGCTCCCGGTGGGGAAAACTGAGTGGAAGGGACGTGGCCGAAACTGAGCCCCATTCCGGCCAAGGGGGACGTCGTGCTTGGGTTGGAAGCTTGGTGGTGGGGGTGACCATACGCAGTGTACGCGGCAGCCGTGGCGGGGGCAAAGTAACCACTCTGAGCGCCTGGAGGAGAGTGGTGGTGGTGGGGGTGGTATGGACCGCGACCAGTTCCGGCAAACATTGCGAATGTTGAGGGGTTATAAGAGGACACCATATTGTGATCTGGATGAGTTCTAGGCACAGGCAAGGTCATAACACACGTTGGACAAGAAACCAGGCCACAGGTCAACTTTCTTTATCCGTTCTCCCCAAATTAATAGTATATTTCCCAAGAAATTAGGTGCGAGCAGGGGCAATTCGGATGAGAAACACCAACTTAAATCACTTTGCAATTAAATCACAAACTCACAAAAACTGCGGAACGTAATTACTGCTTGACTATGGAATAATTTTGTCCGTACTGCTGCTGCTTGAGAATCTGGGCTGAATGTCGGTACTTAAGTTCAGTGGTGACGAGGAGGAATAATAATTGTGATATTATTTCCTCAACACTACTTTGCTGCGAGTGTTACTGGTGTAACGATCAAAGGCAGACTGTGGCTTGAACCTGAGCGACTCGCAGTCTTATCTGTGGATGAACTCATTGTATTCCGGCAGCAGCATGAGAAGAATCAGCGAACGGAATCAGAGTGGTGCTAGTAATCCTTTAAAGTGGACCGACCATGGGATGATACAGATATCCATCCAGATACACAGTCACTGCTTCGGTGTCGTCCTCCAACCCTCTTACATGCCAGTTATCAAAGGACCCTTCTTCTCCTCTATCCCTTAACACTCCCAGAGTCCTGTTGCTCTCGAAAGCAGCAACCTGGGCAGGGTCACCTCCTCCTCCTTCCTATCTGTGAAAATGTCCTAAAATCCTTTTAGCCAGCTGTAAAAACCTTTTATCCGGACAAAGTGGGAGATTGGGACGAGTTTTCACCAGAGTGATGGAACTTTGGGGAGTTATAAGGCTTTCCTCAACTTTCTCCGCTCGCACACTGCTCGCTCCAATGAAGAGACCACAAATGCTGCTTCGACTGGGAACGGACGCCTTTAATAATGAAACACACTACGCAAAATGAGACCAATTCTGCCAACAATTACCCACACCAAGCAAAGCAAAGCATCCATTGCACATGAATATCTGTATTATTACGTGAGGTGATCATGACGCTGATGACCATCATGCATACACCACACACATCATCGCGCAGTACTGCGAAGCGCCATAAAATAGAATAAAATATGATATGTGAGCCCAGCAGCAGGAGCAGGAGCGCTACGTGAGATAAGGACAAGAGGGGTGCACGTACAATTTAGCCGAGGAGCAGTTGGATTATAGTTGCCAAGAGCCGTGGATAGGCGTGACTACGGCCAAACTCCACCTAAACCCTCCTATTATGAGCTCAATCGTTGAACCCCCTGGGGAAAATCCGCCCTTCGTCGTCGGCAAAACCGCTTCTCTTAACTCCTCGCATTTTCCTCGTGCACTTTCCCTCATTTCGCGTAGCCTTGAGAAGAGTTCCGCTTCGTTGCTGTTCTGCGAGCGTGCATTTCGCAAAAAAAATTATCCTCTTTATGGACACCTCGTTTCGTGGGGAGATGATGATTTTAAATAAATATAAAGTTTTTATTTATCAAAACCTTTTTCTACTTATTCCCAACAATATGAATATTAACAATGTCTTAATTGGTTGGCAAAACACAAGAATTAGAGCTAATTGGAAAAGTGTTATTATGTCTTGCACATCTTTCTCCCTGCGTTGGCCTTATCTTTATAATTGCTTTGGCAGCCAAGTCGTACATCCACTTATCGGATGGGGATCGCGTTATAAAGGTGGCAATAATCATAATGGTAAAGTGTAATTAGTGTTTTATTCGTAATTAATAAAACCTTGTGAAATTTACACCCATTACGAGCTTTATATTATTTTGGGAATTATTTTTCAAAGTTGTGCCAATTACGGAAGTAGGGATATTAAAATGTGGGATATTATGGTATCCAGGATAGATTTGTTTGTGCAGATTGCACACGTAATAAAAAAAGTACAATGTTGCACTCTCTTTCTTTTTTATGCTTATCGATCCATCCACGAGACTGAGAAGGCTGTAATTTTTAAGCTTTGGGGGAATCCGTCAGATTGTCAGAAATGAGATTATGTGACAACACAACAACAACGATCTCATGGGAGCGTGATCATCATCTTCTCAACGTTCCGCAATTTACTTAGCAATTTTGGCAGCATCAGTCAGATCAATTTACTACGTAATTATAAACTTTTTCCGTAACACATAACCACGTATTTACAATAATTAGCGATGATAACTCTAAAATTAAGTCAACGCTTCCTAATTAAAAACGCAGCCAGTTATTTTATTGACATTTGGATCATTAGATCATGGGTGAATCTATTTAATACTCCTAAATAATGGCGTAATAATAATGGCACACGCCAAGAGCGATACTATGTATGCATCCCGAGATTAACCAGAGACTTTTTGGCTGGTAAATATATAAATGGCGATGATTATGATGATGCTAATTGACAATTTAACTTTATTATTGCAATAAGTACATAAAGTGAGGCGTATGGAAATGGTTCTGGCTGAGCAAATAAGGGCTCCTGCGTGTGGAGGGAAGCCGGAGTAGGTGCGGTTTGTGTACGTACGAATGTGTATGTGTAAGAGTATACAACTGAATTTTATAGGCCCTGCAATAATCATAAACAAATGCAAGTTTATACATGCACACAGAAGAACAGCACCCGACTGGTTTGCTCGCAATCCTTCCTTCCCCCCAAAAAATTTAAATTGACTCAATTTGTTCGACACTAACGATCTGATATAATAAGATTTGTTCACTTGTGTAGGTGCAAGTCCCACTGTTTTCTGGTGATAATAATGAATGAATGGAGGTGTCTAAGAGTGAAAGATTTAGGTTTTCGCAAGTAACCCCGTCAATCGAAGTGACGATTTCAAAACCAGGATGGAATTCCTTTATTTAGAAAATTTGTGATTTGTTATGCATGAAATTTCGTGATTTGAACATAATTCTATTTTTGTGTTACAACTTTAGCACGCGTTTCTATAAAATAATTGAGAAATGATGACCCATCGATGATAAATATGTAGTTAAATATATATTCATTCGAGATGTAGATATGCAACGTGTGGAATTTCCTTATTTATTTCATGCTTATTGAGCAAAAGTAACACATTTTATTTTTAGGGTTAAAAATTATGGGGATGCACATGTCGTAATATTCGAATTTGTACATACACTAAAGTAATTGGCCCTCGAGACGTGATTCACACCAATCTAAAGAAACTTTTAAAAGTGGAAACTTCTAAAAATGGAACTGCTACATATTTTTGTATGCATTTTACTTAAACAAAACGGTAATTATTATTATTATTACAGCTCGAGCAGTGCAAGTAATAATGAACTTGAACTTGTCCGTTCAAAATATCGCCAAGCATTAAATCTGTGCCTACGGTTTAATTTGCTCATCGCATACGCGTTTATGAATTTATTTCGAAAGAGTCATAAAACTGGAATTTATAACGTGTCAATAAATTATTACACAGATTAATAGGATGAATTCAATGTCAGCATTTATTTTATTTGAAGAGAAATTCATTTAGTTATTACATCACAACAAATACAAAGAAAAACACGACCACCACCACCTGGACGATGTGGTACATATACAGAACTATTTGTACAAATAATGTACTAAATATGTACATGTGTACACGGACATAAACTATACTTCGGTATTGTCCATCAACGAATCGGATTCTTTGATTTCTCGAGTGAGGATTTACTTGTGCAAAGTGAATGGCATTATTGCCTCATTATTTGTACGTATATCCAGGAGATGATTGCTTCATTATCTCGAAACCATTACGTATTATGTATGTCGTGGTGTAATTAAAATAAGCAAAAGATCCACAACAACGTCTCATTCTTCCCCTGAAGCTATTAAAGAAGAGGAAAACGTGCTATTTCAGAACAAAGGAAGATTCTGAGCCAAACTACATCGACTAATTGTGCGCACTACTCCTCAAACTTGTGAAATTTCATTCGAATAGAATTTCCTTAATGAGTCTCACAATCGCACCACAACCAAGTGTTAGTTATGAACCTGGAGCTGGCACCACCACCGACGGCTAATTACGGTGGGAGCATTGCCTACATAAAAGTGTGATGTGATGTCCATTATGTACAAACAATATGTAATTATGCCCAAAAAGTTAGTACTTTGGCGAGAAGAATGCCTCGTCTCGTTACCATCCATCTCATCCCCTCAGAAATCACGACCGACTAAAAATGCAAATTGATTGGTTTGGTTCGTGACTAATAAGCCTATAGCTCTTTTTGTAAATGTGCAATTTGCATGCAACACTACGCCACCTAATCTGATCTCTTGACCAATGACGCCGACTCTCTCGTCGAGTCAAGTCCAACTGGTTTCTAGCTCCATTTTTCACTTCATGCCGTATGAAAAAAAATGAAACATGCAGTCATTAGATATTTTTGGAAGCTCTGTTGTAAATTGCAGAGTTTGGCCTGGGATGTGAAGGGAATGTTACGTGTCAGGCATGAAAAGTTATCAATAAGCTTTCGACTACTACTCGTAAATAGTCTGCAAGTTTGGAAGAAAAATGCACAAATGGCTCCTGAGGTAATATGTAAATACGTAGCAGGAGCACTCTATCGACATCGACATCCATCCAATCCAACCATATTATCCACGAAACAAGAACCCTTCTTATCTTGCACACACGCACATCAAACGAGGCCGAATCAATTGCCATCGTCGTGTGGTAATCTGCTTAAGCCCAGAACCACTCCATTTCGTATTATTCTCACAACAATGCATGGAATATGTGACGGCGAGTGCTGGATCAAGCCAACGGTTGGATGGATAGATACGTCGATCCAATCTAAAGAATTAGCAGGGACAAAATACAACAATTTGGTCAGTGCAGTGCGACGTGAGCAGTGCAATCATAGATATTTAGAGAATCCACACGAACGAACCACTGCTTGGGGAAGGCAAGAGCATTATTTGCCTTGTTTTATGCGTTGTGTAATCATTTGTACAATCGGTGTTCAATCGGAGCATTAGGACGTGGGATCAACCTCACGTCACGAATGGGCTAACTTTTAAACCTGCCTGGGAGCGTTACCATGCAGCGAATACTTTCATTCTCCTGGGCACAAAGTGAGCCAAAAAGTATTAGCTGGGAAAATTATGAATTGAATTATGTATGCGTCGTTTTATTGGCCATTCCCAAAAAAGCGCTGGTCTGGTGGTCGTTCGTTCGTTCGTGGTGTGTAGATTTGACACGATTTGCTCGCTTACCTTAGCGTCTTATGCAGGTGGAGGAGGTGAGAGTGATTAAGTGTAATTATGAGTTATAAAATGGAAATGGTCCGCCTAAAGAGGAGGAGGCCAAGGGTCACGAAAGTCCAAGTAACCTTAAAACTATGTATCAAAACTATGTGGTAATGGTTCTCCTCTTAATGACCACATAATTAGACCAAAAAGTGGACATTAATTGTTCTCGTGGATAAGTTTCAAACTCTGTGATTGCCAACACAATAAGAAGAAAACATATTAATCTGTAGAAAGCAAACTCATTTCTTTTCACTTCGTCTCCTTGATGATAACGATGAGTGCAAAAATTAAGACATTTCCCAAGAATTGTAAAGTCATCCACGGAATCTGGTGTCGCCCAATTTTCCCATGAAATGATCTTGTCCACTTCTGGGAGGATGTGGACGTCACCCAATAATAAATACATAAATGAATAAATAACGACACTTCTTTCTTCCCACTGTCACCAGAACTATCTTCATGATTAGTGGAGCATTAGTACCCTATTGCACATGCATTACATGATTGGGAAGGATGCACCCATCGACTTGCACTGAGATTCACAACGATGTCAAAGATTTGGAGTTTACAACTGGGAAAAATCAT